TGAACGAACATACGATGAACTGGTAAAATACAACGCACTGTTCAAGATTTAACCAAGTTAAAAACTAAATGTGATGACCCCTCAGATTTATCTGGTGACCCTCTGGAGGGGCCCGACCCCTAGGTTGAGAACCACAGGACCACAACTGTATTTAAAGTAGTTAAAACCAGCTCCAACAGTAAAGTAATAACTTCTGTGATAATAACTTTTACTTTTAGTGCTTTCTGAACTTGAGCTCTACCAGCTGATCCCAGTGTGGTCGTCGTCTCTCCTCTCCTACGGCTGCTCGGCCACTCGCCGTCCTCGCGGCGGTGTATTTATAGCTGAGGCAGGAGAGGAAGGAAGCTGAGCGGCAAACATCCTCCTGAGCTGCAGGAGCGAGAGTGTACCCTTTACAAAGCTCACGCATGACTTCATCTCAATGCCCCCCCCCAGCCCCAGGGGCCAAAAACACATTTTTATTTTAGCGTGTAATTGACCAACGGTAATGCCCATAAAAGTGGTTACTTCCCAGAGTTCCCCTGTGTTCGTTGGCGTGGGGGGGGGTTATCAAATTTAATGTCTCTTTAAAGAGGACCAACAAGTGATTTGTTAGGAGAAGTAAAAATAAATAAACAGATCATTATCATTGATTTAATTGTGATGGTTATTTTCTGTCAACCAACTAATCAATTAATTGACTGATCTTTTCATCAATACCTCAGAACTTTCCATCGTTGGCGCCGTGGACACACCTGGGTCACACCTGGGTCACACCTGGGTCACACCTGGGTCACACCTGGGTCACACCTGGGTCAACTATCAGAAAGAACTGAGGTTCCATGTGGAAACATATGAACTAAATCCACAACAACAAAGTTCCCTGTTCATTTGTGTCACAATGTGTTTGTTTAACTGAGTGGAGCTGATTGGCTTAGCTGACAAACTGATTAGTTGATCAACAGAAAATTAATCAGCAACTATTTCATTCATTGGTTTTCACACAGAAACTCAAAGTTTCCATGTTCGTCAGAATTTACTGGATAAAAACAAAAGACATTTGATGTTTGACTCCAGGAAACTCTGGGAAATTTATTTTTCTTTTCTTTTCTATTTTCTCCAAACAGTTTAATCAGTAGATTAATCAATAATTTGAAGAATCATGAGTTGCAGCTCTAAAATCACAGACTGAAAACTTCTCTATGATTATTTCTTCCTGCACATCAGTGAGGAACACAACTGTCAGGAACTGGATGAGAAGGTGTGAGACATCAGCTGGTCCTGTCCAGACCTCCTCCTCCTCCTCCTCTTCCTCTTCCTCCTCCTCCTCTCTCCTCCTCCTCCTCTCTCTCCTCCTCTCTCCTCCTCCTCCTCCTCCTCCTCCACACACTGACGAATTTCTCTTTGTTTTCACATAGTAAACTCAGAGTAATCTCTCCCCATCTTGTGCGCCTGCTTCCTCCATTTCCTCTTCCTCTTCCCTGCCGAGGATGACCTCACAGGAAGTGACTCTCTCAGCCTCAGACGTTAACGACCTTCAGTCCGTCCGCAGCGTGGCGTTCAAACCACGCCGCAGCAGAACAAATGTATTTACAGCTGAAACTGATTTCCAGCTCCGCCGGTCAGCCGGCTGCTTCCCGGCTTGATGGGGAGGAAAATGAAAAATCAAGCAGTGCTGTTCTCTCTCCTCCACCTCCTCCACCTCCTCCACCTCCTCCACCACAAAACCCCTGAACCAGCCCGGAGACACGGAGGCTGTGCTGAAGGTAAATGGCGCACAAAGGCCACATAGAGCCGCACATCATTAACTCACAGGAAGTGATTCCCTGTATGGACGCTCTGTCATCACGCCACAGGTCAGCTGATGACTCTGTCTTATGTAACATAACAGTCATTTTGTGAGACCACACTGAGCTTATACACTGCAGTGTGTAACAGACTCCCACACACTGTGATCCTTCAGGTCCACAGTATATCACACTGTGGGGGGGTCCAGTAAGATCAGTGTCGGAGAACTATAGTTAGAGACACTTAAAGCTCCTCCAGTGTAAAGGTGTGTGTCCATGTGTAGTGTGATTATAGATCAGCTCTAGCTTCTATATTAATACTGTGAAAGTATCAAAGCCTCAGTCCACAGAGAAATGCACACAGCCTGTATTCAGAAACTGAGCCTTAAAACCAGCCGTCAGGACTTCTGGAACTTTGTGATGTCACAACAAAGCAGTCACCAAGCCCCGCCCACCTGGACCCACCATCCAAACCTTGCAGGATTTGGTTTCTCTGAGTGTTTTTACCTGAAATCTGCTATATTTTTATTGGATCACTCAGAAAACAGTCAGCCAATCAGAAGAGAGGCTCAGAGCCTCCTCTCTTCTGATTGGCTCACCGACCTGTTGTTACTAGAGCTCCAGAGAGAAGCCTGAGAGAGGAGATGTAAAACTACACTGAGATGGTTTTTATATCTTCTGATGGATCAACACTTCAAAATAAAACACCAGATAAAAAGTAAAACATGGAGCTTTAAATCCTTCATCGATTTCAAAATGCAAAATTTGTTAAGTGGCGCTCAGCACAGAGAACAGCTGAGGATGATGGGAATGTCTTTAAGCAGATTCATATTTGGTAAATTATTTCTGTTACATATGTTTTAATATAATTTAGGTTCACACAGCAGTTTGTGTAAAGTCATACTAGTGATATCATTGTGTTTCAGGTGTTGGTGTTTGGGTTGGGAGTGTCTGTAGTTTGTAAAACAGCTGTCACTGTGTATTTCATGTTACATTATATCACGTGAGAACGTGTAATAACAGGTATTTGGTGTTGTGTAAGTAGGAAACAAAGAAGCTGAGATGTGACTCTGAAAGAAGCACCTGCCCTGATGTTGTTTAATGAACCCTGACGCACCTGTCTTTCCTGTCTGACGCTGGTTTTTCACAATAAAGTTGGATTAAATTCAATGGAACAGGCGTTGGGATGAAGACACTGGGGACAGGTTGAAGAAAGTCACTACACTTAGTCTCATACAGGGATTTGGTCATAAACCAACCACATGTTAAAATATTGACCTAAATGAAACAGTGGTTACAGTTCATCCTGAGGGGAACATGAACGTCTGAACCAGATCCAGTAAGAAGATCTTCAGTCCATCATCAGTCCCATCAGGAGGCGTCTCAGAGGACACAGAGGTCCTGATCTGATTCAGGTTCTTCCTCTTTGGGTGAAGTTCACTGAGAAATAAAAACTATCCATCACTTTAGTGTTTAGAGAGCTCACCTCTCTCTCTCTCTCTCTCTCTCTCTCTCTCTCTCTACAAAAGTTCAATTTACAACCATAAAAAGCAGCGGGATAAGAAACCGAGCTAAATGAGGCGTTTTGTCTGTCTGCTGAACTCTGTGTTGGTGTTGCTCTCATGGTTATAAGCGGTTATATGTGTTAAACTGTGGCAGGGGAAATTAAATTCAATATTAATTTTAACACTGTGTGTACTGCATCTACGGGTGCCTGCAGGGTCACTTCATGCCCCGTTCTGATTGGTTGATTCGTTTCTCTGAGTCACGTCAGATCTCCATCTCCTTGGTCTCCATCAGACCTGAGTGGAAGTGTCCGATCTAAGACCACTGCTTGGATTTACCAAAATCAATATCAAGATCAATATGTATCAATACCTACAAAAACGATTTGATCACAGAATCAGTAAATCAGTTTAAACAGGATCAGATATTTGGCGCCAAGTGACACATTTCCGTTGCCAAGCTACCAAAAAAATATCAAAATTGATGAAATTATTTACTTTTGAAATGATTTTTAATTCTAACAATGACCGTCTTTCTGTCACTGAATGTTGAAAACTGATGTTTTTAAATGTGAGAACAAATAACTTTCATTTAAAAAACAAAACAATGTGCATTTAGTCAGATCAGATCATTATGACGCGGCCTGTGGTCCGGACCGACCCGGACTGACCGGAGCTCTGTGATCCGGACTGAAGGGATCCGGATTTAAACTTGGAGCTGGTACATCAGCAACACCAACGTTTCCAGACTCAACCGGATCACGCACTACACGGAAAATGCACGGTCTCTGCGTCCGTTATCGGACAGAGAGCGGCTCCACGTCCATTACCGGACACATTCCAGCAGGACGAGCCGTCTGATACCGAGGAGACGAAACGTCATGCCCGTGTCTGGGCTACAGGGGGTCCGGTGTGTCTTGTTTGTGGTCAGTGGGTGATGAAATGATGCTGGAAAAACACACAAACAAAATCAGACACTGACAGAGCGACTGAGCGTATTAGCGGCAAACGGGCTTAGCTGCCTGTCCGATAATGGAGACACACGGTTCTTTCGCGCTGCACAGGTAAATGACGGTCAGCGGTAAAAACGAGGACACGTTGGCGCGGTTGTGTTACTCACAGCCACACAAGCTAACACCGCACACTCCACACAGACATGTCAACCACAGCTAACCTGGTTAGCAAGTAGCGCAGGTTCGTGCCCGGCGAGAACAACATTAAACGAAACCACCATTTAAAAAGTAGGAGATTCTAGGTCATCTGACGTTGACGTTGACAAACAAACAACAGGAACAGTATTTAACACATTTTCTGGATCAACACGGACCTGCCCTTTAATTCGGCATTGTACTTATCAGCACAGCAGCCCGTCTCACAACAGAACTTTACATGACAGTATGAATGTGCGTCACTCCGTGTGTACAACAACACTCCCCACAGGGCAGCAGCAAACAGCGCGAAGCGTCAGTGAAAAGTAGAAATATTATCAAAAGGTGAGCCGTTTACTGGATCATACCAACGCCGAATTACATCCTGGATCTTTCCCGCTTAAACTAAATTGTATCTGTTACTTTATCATGGATGTATATTCGCCGATAAGCGACGAAACTCTAACTTTACACATTCGTTAATGCGGTTTGGATGGACGTTCTCTGTGTTCAGGATCAGCTTTAGCTAGCAAACAAAACAATGTCCGACAATGGACACCTCAGTGACTGAGGCTGCTTACCTGCAACTCGGCCCTCTCGACCTCCCACTGCGCCCTCTCCACCTCGAAGCGGGCCCACTCATGCTGGAGAAAGTGTAAAATCCCCGGGATGCTGAACTGAGCCCTGGCCGTCTCTCCGCCGCCACCGTCGCTAGGCTGCGGAGCTTTAATATTCCCACCGCCGGCCAGACCCGAGTTGCTGTTGTTGTTGAAGAAGACACCGGGGCCCGCCTGCTCGTCCATGGCCGGACCGGGGCGATGTGGTTCGGGCTCGGTCCGGTGCTCTCAACCTCTTCGGTAAAATATCCTCAGGAGGGAAGTGTAGTCCATCAACGGTCCTCTCCGCTGGGCAGCACTACTCCTCTCTGGGCCAGCTGTCAAACGGTGAGCCAAACGTCGAGCCAACGTCACCAACACATGCCCGGGACTTCCGGTCTGGACTTTCATAATACAACAGCCAGGTATGCACCAAAGCAGGATTAAAGCATTTATTTGTAGTAAATCAGAACTAATGTATTGTAATTCACATAATCAGATTTATGCAGAGTACAATGACACTTATACACACTCATTAACACACATCTAGTCAGGTCGACACACACAACGTTGATATTAAAATTCAACAATGATGACACAACAAATCTATTAAGTCTGTTCTATTATTATCTGTTTATTTATCACATATATTAATATTATAATAATAATAACGACAGAGTATTATTATTTTACACTGATTCACTCATGAATTATTAAATGTCTTCTTTTTAACCTGCTGTAAAACTTAAAAAATACTTCACTCAAGGTCAACTTACTAGCTTTTTCAGGGGCATCTCACAGTCTTCCTCAGCAGATTGTTCTTGTCCTCAGTTGTTGTTGAAGATGGAAAAAACTAAATCCTCTAAATGGAAGACTTTGATTTATTTAAGAAACCTTTTATTTTGAAGGCACAATCATTTAATTACCGGTATTACCACAGTTAACTTTACGTAGCTTGACACACCTGTAAGGAGACATTCAACCCCCCTCAGTCCCACCTACTTAGGCGAAATTTCTCACGTCATTGGATGGTCAGATGAACGGCAGCGGAATTATCCAATCAGAGACAGCGAGTGTGACGACTTCAACATTCTGTGTGAATCAGGTTCAAGTTAATTACTGGTTAATTACTGGTAAATTACTGGGTGAGTTGGTAGTTATTTATGTGTTTCTATCAGTTTAAGAGTTGAACAACAAAAAGACAAACAAACAAAAAGAAATAACAACTTCTTCCAAAATAGTTGTCCACAACAAAGCAGCGTCATCCTGGTTTATCATGGGGCCACATCAGACTCCACCTGGACTCCACCTGGACTCCACCTGGAGCTGTGACAGAAGGTAAAAAGTACAACTTCACATCAGTACTCGAGTTGTTCTGTGTAGTTACTGAAACCTGATATTCATTTAATGCTTTATTACATCAAATACAAACATGGGTTTCAGGGCATCTACACCCCCCCCCCTCCCCCTCCCGTACAGGTGTCATGAAGGAGGAAATTAGCTCTGGAGACCAAAACAGTTTCTGTACCAGGCTGTAAACATGTTTATTTCTGCTGTAAAGTTGGACATTTTAACATGGGAGTCTATGGGGACTGACTCACTGTTGGAGCCAGACTCTAGTGGTCGTTAGAGGAACTTTCAGTTTGAGCAGTGTTTTAAATTTAAAATAAAAATAAAGAAAATAAAAATATTCAAAAGTTTGTGTGTGTTTTGGTTTTTTTTAAACTTATTTTGGGCAAATGTAGCTGATAAATCTTTCACTCTGTGAGTGTGACAGTTCTTTTTCCTGATTCCCACAATATTTCTTCAGTTACTGAAGATAAGACTCAAGTGTTGGACATTCAGAACGACCTCAGCTCCTTCTGTAATGACAAACTGAGCAGAGACATCCTCTGGGCCAAACGCTGAAAAACTGAAGCTCAGTTTTCTGACCTTCTTCAAATCTGTCGGGGCCATTAGAGGAACTGCAGCTGGGGGGGGGGGGGGTCACTGCTGTGGCCGGCCCTGCAGGGGCCCCTGTGCGCGGCCCCTCAGGTTGAGCTCCACGCTGCGGCTCTAACCTGATTAAACCCGCAGATGATTCACGTCGTGACCGCGGCCACGTGCTAATCAGCTGATGCGCCACAGCCGCCCCTCCTCTGTATTTAACTCCTGCTCCCAGCACATGTTCCCGCTCCTCACCGCTCACATCATGCCTCCGTTTGACAAACTCCAGCTGCAGAACAAGCCGTTCAAACAGAGGAAGAGCTTCGGTAAATGTCTCTGAGCAGCTCGATACAGACCGTCACTAACTGGGTTTTAAAGAGTTTTCTCTGTTCTTCTTCTGCAGCTATAAGGAAACAAGAAGTGGCGGGGATCAGGTCCAAGTTCCCCAACAAAATCCCGGTAAGTGACAGGAAATCACCAATCATGAATCAATAAAGGTGATCCTTGTTTGTTTATTGGCTCTCACCTGTTGACCGGCGGCTCGCAGGTGATAATCGAACGGTATGAGCGGGAGAAGTATCTGCCTCCGCTGGACAAGACCAAGTTCCTGGTGCCGCATGAACTCACCATGACTCAGTTCGTCACCATCATCAGGTAAAGTCTGTCTCTGTCTTCACTGGCCTCTCGACCATGAGTTCACCTGCAGGAAGCAGCTGCGGACACTCGTGTCTTTTGTTTAATGTCTCAGATTCAGTGAAGTGATGGAAACATGTTGCTTTCTAACGAAGACTTCATTTAGTCAGTTACAGCAGCTGCGACAGTGAAATGCTGCTGAAGCGTCAGTGACGGTTATAGATGATGACGATGATAGTTTATTATTAAGTTTATTTATAAAGCACTTTTAAAAATCTGAATTCAGAAAGTGTTTCACAAGGATAAAATGACAAATACAATTTATTTAAAAAAAAAAAAAAATAGAAACACAAGTAAGGAATGTTTTAAAAAAATAAGTGAAAGAGAGAAGAAAAAAAAAAAAAAAAAAAAAAAAATATATATATATATATATATATATATATAACTGGATATTTTGTGCAACTGTAGCTGATAAATCTTTTTTTGAGATTCTTCAAATCTCTTGGGAAAACAAACTTTACTGGGAGATTCGAGCAACATGTGAGTGGAGTAGTAGATACATGTAGAATAAATGCCTGAGTTGCTTGTTTTGTCCCATTTTATTTACTATCGGAACAAATTCAAAGAATCAACTAATTGTTTCAGCTCAAGAACTAAACGTCTTTTCTGACTTTAAAGCTGCTGAAAGTCAAATGTTAAAGGAGAGAATCTGAATTCAGATCCTTTAATTTGTCTTAAACAGAAGGATATTAATTAAAGTCTTCTGTTTATATGCTCATGTCATAATGAAATGGAGGCTGACAGTTTGAGTGTCTTCTGGAGCTGCAGATGAACCGCCGCTCAGATTCTCGTCCTGCTGCTTCCTCACATTTCTCAGATGCTTCCTGTGGCTCATGATGACGCAGCAGAAACCGGACAGTCCCTGATTGTCACGCAGCAAACTCTTACACAACTGTTTGTCAGTGTGACGCCGAGTCCTGAGATCTGTCTGTGACTGGACGAGTCACACACATCAGATTTCAGCCTTTTTTTTCTTTCCAATAAATCAATCATTTCTGTGGAGCATCTGCGTGACGTGTCACATGACGCAGTGACGACGGGACGAGGTGGATTCACATTTTATCCTTATGAGTTAAAATCAAAGTTCAGTCACGTTCTCGTCGCTGCTGCTTCAGACACGTGAAGATATTAAAGATTCTTTCATGTGTTTCACCGACATTTAAAATCTGGCTGCTGCTTGTTCAGTGATTTTATTTTTCTGTAGAAGGTCGATCAGTCGTCTCATTGACTGTGATCCGTCTGAAGTTTAAAATTAAACTCGACGTGACCTCCAGTTTTTAAAGCTGTGAACGGAGCCTCTTTTTCTTCCTGCAGTGCATTGTGGGATAAGTGTCCTTCAAGAGCACACAAATGAATTTAAATCTGTAAACTGACATCTGGCTCAGCAGATCACTGTAGGTTTCAGTAAAAGAACTAAACAAATCCTCCTTTAAACACGTTAGCCTCTCAAATTCAAGATGGCCACTATTTCTGGCCAGAGGATGTTTTTTTACAATAAATTAACCCACAATTTCCCATTTGAACGATCCAGTCAAACGACGTAGGCAAAGTTTAGTTCACTGAAAAATGAAACCTGTTGAAAATTTACGTAGATTTTACAAATTCAAAGTCCTGCTGAATTTGAACAGTCGTAGTGAGGGACCGGCCAGAAACCTCCAGCATGAAATCATTTTAATCATTTAAAATAGTTAATTGACATGGAGAATTGTGAATTTGACGTCTTCATAATTAAAAACAGATGCAGTTGTGAAATAATTTAAATCTGTCCAGTGTGTAAAATGTTCCCTATGCTGGAAATGGCGGCCATCTTCTAAAATGGTGGACTTTTGAAATTTCCAGTGGCTTAAGGGGATTTTTCAAATCCCACGTTTTGAAATATAATTTATCTGCTGCAGTTTGAGCTGATAAATATTTCATTTTCTCACTGAGGCTGTGACGCTCATTACAGACAACAGCTGATCACATGTGAGCTGCAGCAGCTAACAGAGGGCGTGCAGCTCTCACTAATAACAGCCCTTTGTCTCACCCCCCCCCCCCACCCAGGAACAGGATGGCTCTGCTGCCCACTCAGGCCTTCTACCTGCTCATCAACAACAGCGGTCTGGCCAGCATGTCTCTGACCATGGCCCAGGTCTACAAAGACCACCAGGACGAGGACGGCTTCCTCTACATGACCTACGCCTCGCAGGAGATGTTCGGACACTGACGGGAGGCCTCACTCCCCAGGTTTTATTCGGTGTTGAAGTTGCTGAGCTCCATGTCTGCTGTAAATAGAAAAACATTTTGTATATATTGTAATATTTGTGGCACTTGTATGGATTTTAATGAAAGTATGTGGCTCCAATAAATCTTAAATCTAACCCATGAGTGAACGTGCAGTCTGTAGCGAAACCAGGGTGATTATGACCTGGAAACTGAGTTTTCCAACAAACTCAAACGTCTCACATCAGCCTGTTGAATTAAACCCACATGTAATCAATACAGCTTTTTAACCCTTACCTGACCAACTTTCATACGACTGTCTGGGCTCACGAGTCGTTAGAAACTCGTCACTGTGTGAAGCTTTACACACTTTTGTTTTTGATTCAATTTTTGATGTTGAAATAAAAGATCAGTTTTCTAAACGCAGGACGTCGTTCTCTCAAATCTGGTTCATAAATGTTTGAATCCTGGTCTCCACAATAAAAGGCCACTTCAAAATGTGCAGTTGTATTTTGGTGAGACATTTATCAGACGCTGAACTGAGTTCTGGGCTCAGTTCACCTGTCAGGTGGACGGATTATCTTGGTGAAGGAGAAGTACTCATTAACACGGATTTAAACATTTGTGAAGAAATTAAGAGTCATAAACCCTGTGTGTGTGTGTGTGTGTGAAAAAGGTCTTCAATCTTTTATTTCAACTCATGAAAAATGGAAGCAGAAACAAATGGTGCATTTATATTTTTGATCAGTATATATATATATATATATATATATATATATGTGTTTCAGAACACAGACTAAGTGTCATCAGGGTAACATGGAGAATCTGTAGTCTTGATTGGTGATAATGCTGCAGGATGAAAACAGTCAATAGAACTATTTATTTTCTTTATGACTATTAATATGGGGCTTAAAAGAGAGTCTACGCATACGTGGTGACAGATGATTAATGTTTATTTATAACATCGACACATCAGAGGAGAAACTAAGCTGATGTTTTAACCAGAGAGTCACAGAAACGAGCAGGACTCAGGACCTCAGTATGGTTCCTGGTTCGGTCCCTGGTCTGAAGGTCAGTCTGAGCTGGTGCAGTCTACTCCTGGTTCTTGTACTGGATCTAAAATCACATGGACCGGCCTGCTGCTGCTTCCTGCTTCGTATCACCGGAGTTCCAACCTGCAGGAAAACAAATATCAAAGGTAGATTTTATCAATACATCTGAATATCTAATGTCACGGCTCTTGATCATTATTCTTGGGATAAATTTGTCAGAAATGTTCTCATCAGTGGACAGTAATGATTTGGAGCTGTAGCTACACGAGACACTCAGGACTGATTTACAGTCGATGTGGAATCAAGAATGTTTTCTGTTATTTCAGTTTTTCCTGATTGGAGTTTGGAGTTGTGACCTGTCGTCTGGGAATGTTCCACTTTTAGTTTGATTTTTGCTCTGATTTCCAAAAATCCAACAGTGAGGGTGAACAGATTCTCCAGCCTGTACGTCGGTCAGTCCTGCAACTGTAGTAAACTTCCTCTGAGCTGTAGTTCTCTAATCTCTCCAGCAGGTGGCAGCAATGATCCACCAAACTGAAGCTGTTGATCCTCTCAGAGCGTTCTCATTTTTTCTTCCAGATCTTTGAGTTGAAAATAAATTTGCAGTAGAACTGAACCAAGACAATCCACTGAGGCTCCAGAGAGCTGTTAGAAATACCAATCATCTCAGGACACAAGAGAACACCTGCTGACAGTCACAGTCTGCACAGTTTGGCTCAAAGATCAGTTCACACCTGCAGCATACAGACCGGTCTGTTTCCTTTTAGACCTGATTTCTGCACAGCTGTTCCTGGTCTCTCTCTCCAGACCTCCCCCCACCCGAGTCTGGTTCTGTTGGAGTTTCTCCTCTCCTTTGTCACCGAGTGCTGCTCATGGAGGAACTGTTTGGGTTCTCCCTATAATCCTGTAAAGTCTTGATCTGACTCTGTGAAGTGAGATAAAGTTGAATTGAACAGTTAAAGGAACCATAGTGATGATGTTTCTCTTGGACGCAGCATTTTGAGGTGCAGGGATTTCCAGGAGACGTGAGTAACACACTAATACAACAAACACACACTGTATATGTAGTGATTTCATGACGTGGACATGGGGATTAGTGGAAAACACCAACACAGAACAAAGTTGAGCATTTATGTTTGAAGTCCAAACACATTTTTTAATTTAGTTCAGTTGAAGACGATTGAACAGTGATTCTGCTGTGGAGAGAAACTGAAGTGTAGGAACATGGAAGTTTCTTGTTAAACTGTCGGTCTAACGCAGAAATATCACAAACTCAGCGACGGGATTTTAACCCTCAACCTCAAACCTGCTTGAACCAGTTGTGGTATGGAGTCTCTCTGAGCTGGTGCAGCTCTCACCGAGAACATCAGCAGCATCACTGCAGTTTACGTTGTGTTATTTTTAACTTTACTACATTTTGCCAGAGTGAACATGACTCAGACTCTAAATACAGAATTTCTGTTTGGCTTAAAGTGACAGTTCAGTTATTTATAATCAGTGTCTTACCTGCAGTAGATTCAGGTCAGCTCTCACTTTAGAGGAGCAGCAGGAGCATCGGTGCACAAGCTGAGTGATGAGCAGCTGTGGATGGGATCAAACAGACCTCTGGACTGTTAAACTACTGTATTTCTACACACAGGCGCACTTAGCTCTGTCAGACAAGTCATCTGTGGAGTGATGCATCCTGCTTCATCATGAGTCATTTTGATCTATACAAACTTGTATTTATACATAAGATTAACTTTATTTTCAATTTTTGATGCTGCTCTTACTTGAACTGCAACATGAATGTTAAATTATTTTCAAAAGGTTTGATTATTGCCAATTAATTTCAAATTGATGGGCCTAACACAAATCACAATTGGAGAGATGAAAGTATTTTTTATTTTTTAAACTAATATATCACCTTCATATAACTCGCATATTAACAATCTCATCTAAAGTCTAATGGTCAGGAGGGATTACTCTGAAATCAAAGGAGGAAACATGAACACTATGTATGAAAAACCACAAACATCATTTAAACATTGACACAAATGTCTGCATTTGTTTGTTTGTACACAGCAGGAGGCGCTCTCTCTCTCTCGCTCTCTCATGAAACCTCACATTAAACATTTTTATTTATTGTGAAAAGTGCTGCAGTGATTAAGTCTTTACTTCCTTCTTTACTGGATTTCATTAAAAAACGTCATTAGAGGAGTCAACGCTGGTTTTTGCGAGTCTCCTTTGTTCCTCTGAGTTGTATAGATGTTTGGATGATGGTTCACGCTCCATTAACCGTAATGGAATTAACAAAACTGATTACGTCCACTGAATCTCCACAAGCTGCCTGACGGAGGAGGAAACACAGCGAGCTCAGAGACTCGATCTCCTGTCACCGTCATCTACAGTTTGATCTGTGAGGTCTGATGAATCTGAATCATTTTTAAATTCAAGAAGCTTTGAAGCTTCAGTTGTCAACAATTGTAAGTTAGAAATAACTAGAACTGAAAAATCTCTACACAATCCACTCATGACGTCAGAGTGGCGCCTCTTTGTCTTACAAATGATCTTTGGTCAAGTCACCAGCCCCCAGACCGAACAGCAGTGTTGTAATCCAGTAACGAGTCCTCAGGGTTCAAGTCCCAGTACAAGTCCAAGTCACCAAAGAAGAGTCAGAGTCAAGCCAGAACAAGTCTCATTACCTGAGTCACCAAAGAAAAGTTTGAGAGTCAGAGTCGAGTCCCCATTATGTCAGTGTGAGTCCGAGCCCAACTCCGAGTCCAAGTCACCAAAGAGAAGTCTTTACCTGCTCCATCAGTGTCATTGGTGCAGCCGGTCCCGGTGGATCTTCTTGTTGTGTGTTTAGTGACACTTCCGCCGGGCTCTGTAACACCTTGGTGATGTGAACGAAGGCTGGAGGTGTGGCCAATGAAGCGATTGTTTTGGTCTGAGATGCTGGTGCTCTAGTGTGACATCTAGTGGCCATGACAGTCGTTTACAGAACCTACAAATGCACTGTGAAAAAATCCTAATTTTACGGAAAATAACTAAGTTTTCTAACAGTATTTTTCTGGGTTGTTTTTTTTAATTGTGAACAAAAGTCTGTAAAATTACAGAAATTATCGGTGAATTAACAGCTAAACTTCTATTTTAATCATTACTTCTGTGAACATCTTTGAACACATGCAAAGCACAAAACTGTAAAACGTGGTGCTCAAAATTCCTGCAAGTGTGTGACACTAAGGTATTGATTAGGGGATGTGCAAAAGATCGCAGTACAGACAATATCTGTCACGTGCAGGGATCATTGATGTGATGTGGTTGTTGATTGATGAGGCCAGATGCAGAAGAAAAGACAGGTGCTGGTCCATCATTGGTGAAGATTAGACTGGACTTCTGGTCCTGAGACAGACAAACATGTGATAGGACAATTAGTTTAGATCATACAAGTTCTTTACGTTCAAACATGTTAGGTCTGTTGTGTGTGTATAATAAATTGTGAGGATAGATATGAATATGCTAAAATAAACACAGTATGAATATTATGAAATGTAAATGCAAGGAAATGAAGGGTAAACAACTAGAGGTGTGATAAGAATTCAATGTACACACACTATATAACCAACAAATTGAGTAGTACAAATATGGATATACTGTAAAATACATAACTAATATTGGCAGTGGTATATTCATTATTAAGAATCAGCAGTATGAGCATGTATACACTGTGGGTCTGATTTAATCACAGTGGTAAAGACAAGTCTTAATTTTAAAAGTGAATGATAGCATGTTACTCACCTAGACCCTCCTCACTGTCTGGACTCTCTGCTGTTGGTGAGACAGGTGGAGGCGGTATTGCATCTGTACTGGCTCAGGTCCTGATAAAGACAGAGGGATGCTGAAATCTCCTGAGAAATGTAAAGACCTAGTTCACTTTCAATCATGGCTGATCTCCGAACAGTAATGTAAAGTGGTTACAACATGGTGAACCGATCGACGTGTATTCACTCGGTCTACTGGGTCCATACAATCTCAAGTTACAGTCATCAGTTACAAAATGAGCCTAAAGTTACTGACGTCACTAGCTGTACAACAG